ACATTGCATACATTCAAAAACCATCAATTTTTGAATTGGCTGGGTTGAATTATCAAGTTACCACCTTAAACGTGCAGAATGAATATTGGCTTTAAAGGTTCAAAAAACTACAATTTAGCCCCTATGCAAAAAACAGAAAGCAAAAACGGATCAGTAGGTTTCTGGCCACGGCGAAGTTTATGCACACATGGTCGTTGCGGCGAAGTTTTATTTTGCCATGGCAACCGTGAACTTCTAGAAAACACAAATCGTTCCAGAGAGTTTTATGCCGCGGCGAAGTTGTATTTCACCGCAGCTAGATCTACTTTTCCGGAATTTCACCGCGGCCAAATTCACTTTATGAATCTTGCCTCGGCGAAGTGTTATTTCGCTGCGACTAACATCGCAAAATAGTGAATCAGGCATAGTAACGTCTTTTGCAATTTTTCACATAATGACACGGATCTAAATCAAATCGAATGCTTAAACATTCGACTAGGACACCAACCAACTGATACACATTCAATCAACACATTATTTAATCAATTGATTAATTAAGAAATTCAACATACATAATTTTTTCAAATTTAAAAAAAAAAACTTCAAATCATGCAATAACCTGTTATCAAGCAAATATACATGTTATCAAAAATCAATTAAACAATATAATCTAATACCTGAGGCTCTGATACCACTGTAAGTAATTGTTCTACCATACGTAGTGGAAAAACAAAAAATCAATCGGTAAATCAATTACCTTCCTTTGCCAAGATCCGAGTATAGATTATACCGTTTACATGTTTATAAACAAAAATATTTATAAAGTAAATCCATTCAAGGATTAGAAGACTTACGTACGTTTGGAGGCTCTTTTGAATATCTCTGATTTCGGACAGGAACACTGTTCATGGTTACTGTTCACCATCTACTGTTCACGTGATTTTTCGTCAATCGATCCAAAGTACGATCGCACTCACGGAAGTCCACACGAAGATAATCCGCAGAACCCTTGATTATTTTGCTAGAACAATCAAGGGCTTCAAGAATGAAGAAAGAAGAACAAGAAAAGTTTTCTTCTTGAGAGAGAGAGAAATAGGGTGGCTAGGGTTTTAATAGAATGAAAAATCAATTGTTTTAATTTTGAAGTTGCACTTATATAGTGCAACAATTAAAAACCCTATTCCACTTAGGAATAGCTATGGGCTCCAACCCTAGTTTACCTTTGCAACTAGACACACCCTTTATGGTACTTTAATTAATTAATTATTATTATAATTAAAATCAATTAATATATAATAATATAATAATATTTAATTAATAATAATAATTCATTTAAATATATACAGAGATATATTCAAATATAATCTCACTAATCTAATTTTAATATTAAAATTAAATACAGGCAACAACCTCAGCAAATTTAATTGCACTATGAGATTATTAAAATACTATTTCGTCCTAAAAGACAAAAATACCCTTCTCACAAATTGATTCTTAAATTATCTTCGAAATGTGTGACCCATAGGCTCCTTATCATATTGGTAGTGTGTAGTATCGCGATTAACACTAATTAATCGTCTCACTACACACATACAAAGATTGGCCCCTAGCAAGGCATCATGGCCACCCGATAGATTCGAATTCTGCAAAACCGCAGCCTATCAATGGTATTGTTATTGTACAATCAAATCCTTTCATCAACTGTTATCTCATCAAGACTGAGGTACAGAAATAATGTCAACCTCAGATATCCTCGACATGTTTGTATTCAATTACTGGACCAATGACAAGAATATTAAATTAGATTGAGCATCAACTCAATCCCACTGTGGCCACAGATTTAGTGTCATTGCCATTTACTGAATTACCCAGTGAGATAACTTCTCCCGTACCCAGGAGTGATGAATCATTTGTCGGTCCACAATAGTCTCGACACACTTCTCAATGTAGCCAATCACTACCATATTGATAGCTCTGAATAGAACTACGTTGGGCTACTGTCAAACTACACCAATTGGTGCACAAGGTGCTTCGGTGATCTCAAGTCCAATGATCACATGCACCACCATCCATTAGAGGATTTATTCCATAGACACTAGGGTTACCATCCATGTTGAATCCTCTGGTGGGTCTGTCCAGTGAACTTACCTCTAGCAAGCACCCATACATTGCACTAGGTTGTTGACAAACAACCTTGACAAGTGAGATCAGTCACTGCCTTTCGACATGGTCGTTCGACACTATGATAGCCTTACTGTCTTATTTGTGTCCTTGGTTAGAATAATACTAGGGCTACGGACGTTTCTAGAATGGCCACCATATGTGATCATAGGGTTCTCACTATCAAGATTTGAAACACTTGATACCCTCATCATGGTTCTACCATCCTAAGGACATATATCAATACATATAATATGATTTACATGATATAGTAGAATATGCCTTTTATTGATAAATAAACATTTATTATAGAGTCAATTTTACAATAATTGATTGGCTCTAGGGCATCTACTCTAACAAAATTCATGAAATATGCCCTGCAATTCACAAAACTTAGCAAAATCAGCATTCTCAAATTCTTTTCCATGGTCACTCCTTATTCTCACTATCTTTGTAGCTTTAGAACTCCTCTCAACAAGCAACCTTTTGGCAATTTATAAAATGCATTGAATGAATCAGATTTCTCATGTAAAAAATCAACCCAAGCATATCTTGAAAAATCAACAACACAAACAAACACATACCTCTTACCTCCCAAACTTTTAATTTACAAAGGACCTATTAGATCCATATGGAGCAATTCCAAAACACACGAGGTATTGGCATTTGATAAAGCTTTTGAAAGAAAAACCATGAAGAGGTGGCGGAAAAATTGAGGGAAAGCATGTAAACAAGACATGCAAGCTAAGATAGGATTATAGGAGGCAAAAAACTTTAAATAAAGCATAAATTAAAGTTATACCTTCTCCTTAAAGCTTAGGTTTGATGAAGCCAAGATTCAAAGCTATGAACCCTCTACACTTTAAAACCACCTTGACAGAAAGAGAGAGTGGCCGAACCTAAGAGAGAGTTTGTGTGTTTTTCTTTTGAGTGAACAATAAACACTTAACCTAAAATGCAACCATTTGCATTTATATATACATGGGTCATGTTGTAATTTCTTGTTTTTCACTTGCATGCCCCAATAAAATCTTATTCTAAAAAGAGCCCAAGCATTTATTAATTTGCCCTTTGAATAATCAATATTATTCAAGGGCCCATACAAACTAAACTAGTTTACATTAACAACCCATAAGTTTACCCTTTTGCCCTTTAACTATTAAAAGGTTATTTTAGTTCATCTCATTTATCTTAACGCTTTAAGATATAATAATTAAATACAATTAATTATTGCTTGACCATTGTAACCTTTAAAATGTCACAAATAATTTTCTTTGTAACTATTACCATAGAAATCTTGTCATTACCCTCCGAAGGTGGTAGCCCTCTTCGAATAATCATTTCTCTCTTTTATCCTTCTCTAACTTCTCAAGGCTATTGGTGTGACCATGTAGGTCTACCATGGATTAGCCATGAGCCAGTTCTAGATGAATCCGGAAACTTGTCCGGAGGCCCAACGAGTATGGTAAACAGCTAGCAATGTGCCATAGACTCTAAACCACGATGAATAAATACTTCATCAAACCCTTTTCAGATCATATGTACCATGTAGGTGAAGTCTCTCCATTGATATATTCTGATCGAGTACGGATTCATTGAACATCAAAATCCTAAACTTGATATTCTACCGAATCGTTGATCAATATGTCTGAAACTTGTCATCATGAACTTGCTTTCGTATGACTAATAATAGACTCTGGCCAGAGATTCTAATTTTTGACACTTATCGACGTTCGTCCAAGAACTCAAATGCTACTAAAAAAGCCGATTATCGCATATTTTTAGAGGTCGTACTTGACCCATCCGACCCCTTAAACTCGTATAAAATCAAATAGACCATTCCAGACCTTTTCCTCATGTTGCTACCGGCTACAGATCAGATATGACCGGTTGAAGAAAGAAGAAAAGATCGATGAACGATTAAGCGATACTTTGCCTTAGAGACCAATGAAATGCGACCGAGAAGCTGTATTACACAAGAGTTCAAGACTTCTTGCTTCTGCTTTCCTGCTTACTATTGCTATCACCTCAACTGCTTTCGACCTGCTTGCTCACTTAGAATGAAGATCAATAATAATTAATAATGGGCGGAAAGGCTTTACACAAGACCACAGAGCGAGAGAGAGAGAGAGCCTTCGCTTACCTACTAACCGTGCCCTCCTATCGTACCTATATCCCCTTTCCTTCAGTTACATCTAGTCTCAGTTCTGCTTCCAACTACGATGGGAGAAGGCTTGGACATATAGCAAGACTAAATAAGAGGTCTGGCATAAGGGAATGATATATGAAATAAAAGGTGGAAACAGAGCTGGGATGAGCGCTAGCAATGGTTAATACTTCAGAAAGAACCTTAGAAATGAAATTCCAGTAATGCCCTTATCGACCTCAGTCTTGTTTTTTGCTAGCTTGAGTCTGAAATAGACTATACTATATCAAAACGCCGAATATCCATATATATATATATATATATATTAATATATATATTATAATATATATATATATATATATAATATATTATTATATATATAATACATATTTCTTTTTTCTTTTTTTTTTTGGTTGTTGGAAGATAGTGACCCACTTTTAGCCGTTCAACGATTATGCTGTTCAGCTTACCATACACTATATAATGGAAAGGGGTACTTTCGAGCTGATCTGTAACGGATCAAAGCGACCATTAGTCGGGTAACTGTGATTGGTCAAGGCGACTGAGAGGACACATACCTCCTCCATACCTTAAATGGGCAAGACTCAGATAATGCATGCGAGAAGTATAATAGTTTACTGAACAAATACTTAGATCTTGATTGATTTGGATGCAATGAAAAATTTCATTACTCCAAAAAAAAAGCCATCATGAGTTACATGACCCCACAACCTATATCAGCAATACATCTCTGCTTAGGGAGTAGGTCAAAGCTTTTTATAAGAAAGTCAAAAGCTGGAATCCGAGAAGACAAGACCAGACCCCTAAGAGCGTCTTGTAAACCAATTATTCGATCTGGAGATCCAGCAAGGCTGTCGGAGACATCACTAAACCCAGGGATGTCTCTGAAAAGAAGAATTCGTAGAGATTTTCCCAGAACCCCAGTCCAGCCTACCCGACTGATATAATCTAGAATCCACTCTGCCCTTATTAGTAGTAGGGGAATAGTGACCCTATTTGTATGCGCATTCAACCGACGGGCACGTTCAAGATCTCCCGAAACGAGAACCTAAACATGGTTTATTGATAGTAAGCTGATTAAATCTTAAATAAATGGATCATAGGTTGGTTGAATATTGAGTTCCGCTTAGGTGCGTGTTCTGTTCACGCGCTACTAAGCCGGACACAGGATCTTAGATAGGTTTTGTCCCCTTTCGGGAACGCCTTCTTAGTAGGGGCTAAGCCTGATGCAAATATACCGAAAAAAAAAGATATCTATGGTCGATTCTACAAAGAGTAGATTCGCCCCTTATGTATGGCTCGTCTCGTGCTTAGTCCCTCGCGGATTCGGATAGGGGAGCTGCAAGTCTTTTCAGAAAACTTTCAGTTTCCCCCTTATCTAAAAGATATATAATATATTATATATATATTATATATATAATATTATAGATACTAACTTTTGGTTGAATCGGACAGGGACTTCTATAAAGATCTTTCCTCATTCATCATACCAAAGTCGAAGCCAAGTCACGGCATGAGAGGCTCGGAAAAATAACGAGAATCAGCATCGTGGTGGTGCTACGAGATGGCGATTTCTCGTATAGAAGAAAGATCCGCGGACCAATTGATTGACCATAGATGCGAACGACGACTGCTATCTAAGAGAAGATAAGGAGTTCTTCTATCGTTCAAGGGCAAGGGGAGAACATGTAGCGGCTTGCCTAGATCTCGTATTTCTCACATAGTCTCTATAGGTCAAACCAATGATTCTCTCTTAAACTTCAAGTGATAGAGAGATTCTTTTCTGGTATGTAGCTCGCGAGCTAGGAGACATCATCGGGGCAGGGCGAAAACGAACATAGGATCATCATCATCATTGCCTTTTTCCTTTTCTTTTGTTTGTGTCCGGTCCATGTGTTGTGGTTTTTTTTAAGGCTTATCTGGGGGCTGCTGCTCTGGGGCATCCAATTCCTCTTCTTTCTTTGTTGCTGATCTCACATCGAGAGCAGCTCCTTCTTGTTCAGGGTCATCAGATGAGAGATCTTCCTCTGACCAAAAATCGGTTAAGGGGAGGCTAACCTCGACTCACTCTCTATCTATAAAAACCCCTCCCTAGAGGAGAGCAGAAGTCCAGGATGAGTATGTCTGGATTCCGGATTCATTCTCGTCACCATGGAATTTTTGGAATCTACAAAAATATTCTAGGGAGGGCTCGTAATGATCTTTGAGAAGATCACAAGGTGCTGTGGCAAGGGATGGGGGGGGGGATCTTAGGTTTTTGTGAAAGGGATGCTCTTATCATGTTATTGTTGAAAAGAAAAACTGAATCTATTTAATGTTGGTTCCTCACACTTCCTCCTTGTAGAGGAAGGCTAACTGCTTGCTGGCTAGGAGAGTTGAGCGGTAACGTCCACGTACGGTTCGTGAGAAGGGCGGTGGACAGAAATGGCCTTGTTGTACCTACTCTCATTTCAATGGGGTCTGCTTTTTTTTTTTTTTTTTTTTTTTTTTGGGGGAGAGTATGCCATGATCTTAATGAGGTGGCGGGCTTTGCATCTGACATTCATTGGGCTTCCCCCTTGGGAGCCTATGTCCCGGCGTTTTTGTACAATAAACCCTCCGACCGAAGACTAGTGGTAGGTGGTCCCACAAAGCTTTCGGAGAAGGGTAGCCAAGTGTGTAAGCACAGATGAACCGCGGCGAACCCTCAGACAACCTATCTAAGATTAGGGGGGGATCTCAGTAGTGGTGACCCTTTCACTCTTCCATGAACACGGACTGATACATGGACCGAATGCTCATACGGGAAGGTTGACTTCTGGGTCTGGAACCTAGAGGGGTTGCTCCAAGAAATCCTTTGTTTTCGTCCACTCAGGGGGGGATGGACACACCTGCGCAGATTACAGGTGACGGTTAAAGAATGGCGGGGAAGTGAATAGTACCCGATGACATTCAGGGATGGATGTAAACCCATCAGGCAGGGTAACATTCCGGTCCTCGGAGAGGTGGCGACCATTCTCAAGAACCAAAAAGACTGAGCTGACGGAAGCCCTATGAGTCACTGAAACGACGGCAGGAGGGCCCTTGATTATCATTATCAATAAAGGGAGCAAAAAAGGGGCTTTGCCCCCTTTATAATAAGAAGAAAGAAATAAGGGTCAAAGTTTAGACTGTCACAGTAGTTCTACCTATAGAAAAGAGAATGAAAGAGCGATCAGAATGGTATCGAACATTTTACGATCGAGTTTCCAGACACATCGCACTTCCACTCGGGTCGAGGCTGCCATTGGTCCTAATACGGATCAAAGAAGAGTGGGGAATCTCTCGCTGGTTTTTAGAATTCAACATCAGGAAGTGTTTTCACACCATCGACTGACATCGACTCATCCCAATCTTTAAGGAAGAGATCGACGAGACAAGTTCTTTTACCCCACTTAGAAAGTCTTTTTAGCCGGACGACTTGTATGAGGTGACAAGGGCCCTTACTCCGTCCCACACAGTGTACTACAACCGGCTAGGGATAGGCGCAGGTCGGGTCAGGGCCGAGGACCCCATGCCCCATCCCGTCCCTATTACCCCCTCTCATGACCGTCCCCGACCTGTTCCGCGGGCAGGGATTTTTCTCATGACCATCCCCGGCCCATGGGGACAAAATCCCTCCCATCCCTGTCCCAGCCCAGCCCGATGAATGGGGCTTCGCGGGGAATTTCTCCCTGAGGGGATTTTTGTCCCGTGTAAATCAAAACTTTCCGTAACAATAATATTTAATTATTTTAATTGTGAAAAACTAGCACGTTGATAGATATTATATTTGACAATTTGATTGTTTACTTTCAGTAATTAATTCATTAAAAAGGTATAATTTAAAGTTAGAAAATATAAAGTCTAACAATTTTTTGTAAAATTTAAATTAAGATTTAAAAAGCAATACATAACTACTACCATAAACTGAATTAATTGTTATTAAGTTAGTAACACGTTTTCTATATAGTATTAAATAGAGGAATTCAGATTCTACATTCTGATGCTTTATGTTGCTGAAGCATTGCTGCATTGTAATGTTCCACTGAAATAGTCTTATCTCCTAAAATTCATAAAATAAATACCTGAAAAAAAATTTCGCTGAAAATTGATTTGAATATGGTGAATAACAACAATTTCTTGGCAAAATTTGGAACATGCTCATGGATTTCAAAGCAATAAAATATAAACATCATTCATGCTGCACTGTAATAATATAAACATCCTTCAAGTTGCATTTTAAATTATTAGACTCCCTCGTTTAAATTATTTTTCTATAAATTTAATACAAAGATTAGAAAATATTATAAAAGTAAATATCATAAATTTAGATGCATTACTTAAAATCATGATTTAAACTTTAACTTTATATACAATCTCATAAAAGGAACAAAAACATAAAAAAAAATAAAAAAAATAAAATTCTTAAAAAAGCAGGGCGAGCAGGGCTCCACGAGGCCGGGCCGGGCCGGGCCAGGCCGGGCCGGGGATTGCACTATCCCCTTCCTCGGCCCATCCCCGGCCCTATCCCCCTTTTTTTGGGGATTCCTCGGCCCGAAAGGGCCAGGTCGGGATGGATCCCTGCGAAGCCGGGGGAAATGCCCATCTCTACAACCGGCCTTACCAGGGCTTCTTTGAGGTGCAATAAATGTTTGGGAAAAAAAATGTTGTTTTTATGTGAACTTTCTTGTGGTTTTTTAGGAAAATGAGTGTGTTGTTTTGGTAATTGTATTGCAGAATGCTTCACTAAGGACTTTCAAACTGTCACCATGCCATTATGCTATAATATTTACACATTACGAGTGTTTTTTTTTTTTTTTGAATTGCTTTTAAGGGTCCAAGAAAATGAGACGAAGAAAACGAGAGGAGATGGGGAAGATTAATGGACGGCCTACAAAGTGTTTTTTTTTTTGTTTTTTTTTTTTGTTTTTTTTTATATTTGGTAGTCAAGAATGGGTGTCCATTATTTGTGGAGGCACATTAAAAATAATAGACGATCGTCTTTAAGGTTTATAAACTTGTTTATATATTTTAATTATCGACTGACGGCCTGTAATTGAGGATGTCTGTATCTGATATATGGATCCGTCCTTATAATAGGAAGAATCCATATGAGTGAAACGGTTGTCCATATTTGATCGACGGCATGTTCACTAGAAAAAACAATTGATAGAAAAATAGACCCTAATACACGTAAATCGAAACCATATTTTGGTGTAAATTTTGAGTATATATTTCGGTGTAATTTGTGGGTGTACGTACTTTTTGGTTGGAAAAATCTATATGCCTTAAAAATATAGAATAAGGTTTGGTTAATATTTATAAAGCATAGTGGGTGACGTGGACATCTTACTACCACCAACGAGTCTGTCCGTATTGACGTTACATAAAAAACATCCCTTGATGGAATCACTGCGATTAGTGCCTTGCTCCAACTCTTTCACAAGTCTTACCAACCTTCCCGCCACAATGTGCAAAAGAATGGCCACAATTCCACATGCACTCTCAGTTTCATAGTTCTTTCTATTCTGACTTGTTGATTGAAAATGTCTCTGCTAATTTTTAGATTTCTTGACCCCTACTTTGAAGGCAAGCCCCTCCGCTTGTTACGTGAAACACTAGAGAGTAGAAGTGTTGAGGTGTCAGAACTTTTGTCTGGGGGAGGAGAAACGTTTTTAGAGAAATGGGGTTTATGCAGTTGCCAGTGAAAAAGGGAGGAACATTGTTGTGCCAAGAAAAAGAGGAGGTCACTTGGCAGCCATAGGTGGTCGGATTGTGGGGTGAGTGTTGTGTTTCTTGGAAGAAGATCCGGCTGATCAGACACTTCATGTTGTGGTGAAGGAGCCCTCACAATGTAGTTTGATTTATTCTTCTTCTTAAAATATAAATTTGAATTCTTTTTGTTTTTTTTTCATGGTTATGTTTCCGAGATGTTTGGTTTGTTATGTTTAATTTCTTGTTAATTGGCACGTTAGGAGGGAATTGATTTGTTTGGTGATGAGGAAAATTATAATTGAGTGATAAGAAATTCATAAGTTTTAGCAATGTTTGTTTCAGATAAATGCATGTTAGATTCGGCAAATAAAAAAAATGTTGTGATAAAATTATGATCAATTTAGGTATCAGTTCTATAGGTTAACGAAAGTATAAGATTTCAGGAGAAAAATGGGTGTTTTTCTTTTGTTTTTTTTTTTTATTTTATGGTCAACCATTACCTGGGCAAGTTAATTGAATATTATACCATCTCTCTGTAAATTCTTGATGGTTAAGGCCTAGTCTTGAATTTAAACAGAGTCGCGGTGAGTAACTTTAGTGATTTGTTGTGGTAGCTAGGGTAGCACATAGTTCGAACTGACAATTCCGTGAAGATATTGAAAAAAGGGTTTTCTGGGTATTAAAAAGGCTAACTATTCTATCGTTGAAAAAATCACCACATTGTAGCTTGTTTAAAATGCATGGTCAAAATGGTAGTCTTTTATTGATTTTCAATGTTTGAATGTGCTTTGTGAAGTGAACATTTCCGGTCCAGACTTTGGTTGATTTTGGCCTTTAAAGGCTTTTCTGGGAGTTTCAGAATTGGACACTGAGCACCAGTATCTGTTCCGATTCATGGAACTGGTTCGTGAAGCCACACTTGTATATCGTTATAAACATGGTGCATCTTCTGAAATTGGTATTCATTATGAGTAGTTAGCAATTAGCTGATGTTGCTATGTAATTGATACAGACGGTTGATTACTTCATTGCCTTTATACGTGTGGCAGCCTCCATTGAGGATACAAGGTGAAATCCAACCGGAAAATGTGAATTCTTACACTGGTTCCCGTCTCTTTCCTCAATTTGGACAGGAGACAGTGTTTAAAAATCATTCCACCATGTGAAGGATAATTTACAAAGTTTGCAGATGACTCCTTGGGTTGTCGGGAGAATGAAGTCGAAGAACGCAGAGCTGATTGTACACACTGAGAGGCACCCTAAATGATTGACGAAATCTGTAAGTCTCCATGTTGATTTGAGTCCTCCATTTGTGTGCACAAGTTCCATGCCGGTTGCATAATCGCATGTGGCTGTAATCTGGCAAAGTATCCAAGTTGTTAAATTCATCACTTGGTAGTCAACCAGTAAGTTGATAATTTGATATGGCCAATTTGAACATTGATACACAAACCCATTCAGAAAATTCATCTCCACATGTTGAATTTTAGATTTGAGAAAACTGCTAGTTACTTTGTGGTCAAAATGTGTTTGTGTCTATATATGATTATAGAAAAGCCCATTAAGCTTTTCGTTTGTTTATCATGTCAAACTATACTGTTTTAAATTTTCTTTTACGGTCTTGCAGTCTGTTCAGAGATGGAGCAAGTTTCACTGTCTTATAGGCTGCTAAAGAGGAAGAATGTGGCCACCATTAAATGGTTTGGAATCATCAGTAATGTCCGTATGAGTCAATTTGGTCGAATGCGTCTGGTTTACTTTTTTGCGGAATCACAGGCATGTGGGGAGAGTATACTTAAGTACTTACTCACAAAGGTACCATCTCAGTTGCTGATAACCAAACACACAAAAACATAACATCCCGTCCATTGTACTACGCTCTCTCATTCTCCTTGACCAGGATCTCCCCTTCCTGGTACGGCTTGACTAAGCACACATCATTCGGCGTGGATAGTATGAACAATGTGATATTGTCCGTGGTTGCAAAATATAACAGATGATTATTGAAATCTGGTTGCAAATAGGTGATGTCTGTGTTATTAAGGTGATAAGGATGAGGTTGTTCCTGTGGGGTGTAGTAGTATGTACATAGAAGCACGGTAGCTGATGCACAGGGTCAAATCATTCCAAATGCGGATCACACACTGTATTTTTGTAGAAAGGGAATGACGCTAATAGTTGGGGAGGACATATGGGCACCATTGCAGATACTAACA